CATAATCAAATGTCGAAATTCTTAAAAGCTGTGTCAACAGACTACTTCGCAGCTGCATAGGTTAATGAGATCTCGAGAAGATTTGTAAGTAGTAACCGGGCGGAATTTTCCGCCACTGGGGGAACCTGTATTCAATTTGCAACATTTGTAAATATATTAGATCATTAGATATGGATAACACTGAGATTGTAAATTGGAAAGTATATGAAGGGGATTTCGTTTCGGATCATAGACGATGTTATCAAAACGTTTCTGTGTTGCTTTGGTTTTCTTGTCCAATCACCTACTCTGGGAAGAAATCCCAACTGGTTTGGTTCATAGGGAGTATTGAACGAAATAATGGGTAGTGGACTAACTGCAGACGATTTATCAGCGATTAATTTTTCGGCTTGCAGAGTCTTTGGCTCATGGAGTCAGATATAGCGAAAAATTCCGCGTCATTAACTCAAAAATCGTTTTATTTATGCCGGTCTTGCAGCAAATGAGCGATATGATCATCTCTTGCGTATATACAAATTCGTGATGGGTAATTATATAAACGTTTTGGACCGACTTTAGTTATTTTTATACTGGTTTTACTTGAATGGCTTCATTAAAAATTAATTCGTTTAAATTTCACATATGTATCCGAAATTTTGTTTGTAAAAAATTTGAAAGGGTTTTAATATTTTCAGCAAATAGTACGTTTACATTATACTGAATTTCTTTAACCCAGTGGGTTATATATAATATAGGATAACCCCGTACAAACTTCTATTTTAAAGGCCGTTAGGATAATTTGTTTTGAAAACATAGCTAAAAAATCTATTCAAAAAGATTTTTTTAGCTAAGTCTTTGTGGAACTTTAGTGACAACTACGTTTGAATTGTTCTAAATATGTTTGATAAATAATTTAATGTTTGATCAATGATGCAATTCAACGTTTATTTTACACACACACTTTCAAATATTTAACGAACTGAATTTTATCCTTTCGAAATTTCTCATAAATTTTAAAAATACACAGTTTTCACCAATATTTCACTACCACAACATCCCTTCATTGAAATCACATTTTTTCATTTAATTGATCAATAATATTTTTTTTCATTCATTATAAGATTTTTTGAATTTCATTATATAGCAATTAAAATGATTTATTTTTTTTATGTAAATTTTAAATAAACTGCCCACACTCACTTTTCAATTTACAAATAATTTTCACGGAGAAACTATAGTATCGTACGTTGTGATCAAGCCGAAGTCAGTTGAGCGACTAATTGCGGTTACGGATTGAAATCAATTTCAATACGGCAGAGTAGATAAATTAGTTCTCCCTATTTTTTTGTTATAGTTGAATGGAAGATGGTCGGTAAAAATTAAATACGTCTTATGCCCAAAAATTTCTCCCAATAAAGTTTTTGGTTAAAAAAGAGAAACAAAGAATAAACGAGAAAAATAGCGGAGAGAAATTTTGTAGGCCTGAAAGTCACATCAACTAAAGATCTTGATAAATTATATTTTTTGGGTTACTAATTACAGATCGTGAGAGCGAAAAAGTTTAACATGTTGGGGTAGTCACCCAACTGCCGAGTCAAAGAACTTGTGAAAGTATGACGCGCGTCTGTATTTTTGCTTATCATCGTTATGTTACCATTTTTAAAAGTATATTTAGCGTTGTGGCGCGTGTTCAGGTACAAAGTGCAAATGCGGATCAAGATAAAAATAACGTGCAGATATATATTCACCATAATTAGTAGAAGTTAGATGGCTAGACTGAATTCAATGATAATATGCGATGTGATCAGGGAAATATTTTGGCTGTTTTATGTGAGTCAAATGCAATGTGTATGCAATTCAAATTTATAATAAAAACGAAAGCGTTGAATTTTGAAGGAAGGTTCAACTGCAGAAGTATGATTAAGATATATGGGAAACAATTAAGAACGTTGTTAAAATCGGCCATACTCTCCACCATCAGGTGTATATTCAAAATACCTAAAATTGATTGGGACATGTATTTAGGTCGATATTAAGCATTTTAGTAGGAAGATTTGACAGCCAATGATTATCTAAAATATCAAATTAGCTCAGTTGAAAAATGTGCCCAAAATTCCGAAAAATGAGAGATGTCATTATATGGGATCTATCCTGAAACTTGAACCAATTTGCGGACCAACGAGAACCCAAAATTCTACATTTGTTTTCAAACGTGCCAAAAATGGGGTTATACAAAAACGTGAACCTAAATATCTCAAGTACCAAACATCAAATGGAATGCCAAAAATATTATTAGGACAGACAATGAGGAACATAAACATGATATATGCATATAGATTACATTTTGTGATAATTCTAAATATCAGCAATGTTCAATTTTAGATATTTTACAAGTAAAAACGATGCTAAATTTGGCCGGGTTGAACATTTTATACACCCCCGATTGAGGTTGACATTCAAAACATCTAAAATTAATCGGTGATCATAGAAAAAATATCATGTTATGATAGGACCTTGAACACACCGGGCTATACCCAATGAGAATACAATAAAATTATAGCCAATTCGGCTGAAAACGTGTCCCAAATCCCCAAAATACCGAATATTGTGAGGTACCGTTATATTTCCAATATAATTCGTTGTAGTTTCAGTGGTGTTGCAATCTTCTTTGCAAAGGTAAGGTTTCCGATAATCTTGTGGTACCGATGTTTAATTTCCTAAAATTCGACTATGCCGAATATCAACATGATAGTCGTTCACATATCTTTAGAACTTCTTGAATTTTCTCGAAATCCTCCTTATCTCAAAACTTTTCACAATTTTCAAAATTCGCATAGTAATTATTATAGTTTTTTTCATCCAAATCTCTTATCACAACTTTATTTTACGTTTTTTAAGAGGCGTAATATCGGAATTGCTTTGAACCAATAAATGTCTGCTCGTTTTCATTGTCATATATGGGGGTAATTCAAATCTAAGATCTTTGATTAAATTGTGTAACACAAAACTATTATTAATTGTTTAATAAACAAAGAATAGCCATTGATGAAGCTTTAATGAATATTCTCGTTAATTGACGCACTACATGAAAGACAAGCCACATCACAAAGAATCCGTTTGAATTGATGAAAATGACCTTGCATATTTATTTACTGGCATTTGAGATATTTCGTTAATAGAATTGCGGCAATAGACAAAAATTTTGAAATTATGAAATATAGAATTAAAGATAACATTTGAGGTATTTTTGGAAATGTCACCGTATTAATAATAAAATATCATTATGATAAATAGTTCTTCATAACCTACAAGTTACATGTATTAGTGCAAGGTTCGTGTAAAAGTGAAAAACGACGATAAAAAACATACAAATATGTACTTTGGGTACCCTATATAAAATCAAATGAGCGACATTTTTCTAGAATATTTGGATGTCAAAAAGTCTCGTCTTGTGGTATTTAGTTTTGGTTAAAGAAAATTGGGTGTAATAAGACACACAATGAGTAGATATAGAAAGAGGATATGTTTTACAAAAAAATTCCTCAGTCTATCAGACTAAAAAATGACCTGCAATAGTCGGAAACAAATATATAAAGGTTTCCCTTCATGAACTTTGAAGTTACCAGCAAAAAGTTCATCGTTTCCGGATTTTATTTATATACGTGCCGCTTAAAAAGAATTTTCCTCCCACCAACATCATGTTGCACAGTGCGCAAAATTTTGTCTCAATCGGGCAAATAAATGGGCAGTTTGGTGCACCATTTACATCAAAACATTCATTTTTATTCTTTGACCAGATTCCCTTCCTCGAGTAAAATTTCATAATTCTGGCCTCTAGAGCGTAAAACATAGAGGGCAAAACATGTCTTGATCGACTCAGATAGTCGGGATATGACGATTGGTATACTAAATGGTGGGTCTAGGACCAATATTTCGCGGCGTTACAAACTCTTGGGAACACACAAAACCATAGTTGTGTAGGGTATAAAAAGTTAAGAGAAAGTGTAGAATTCTAAGACAATTTAGCCATTTTCATCCGTCTGTATTTCTGTTGTAATCATCAAAAAAATGATGTAATTTGGTATTTTGGATTCCCTGTGTATATCATATCTCCGCATTCAAAATTACTCATATTGACCCAAGTTTCAGGGTAATCCCTATATAATGGATGTTTTGGACACTTTTTCAATCGAATTGTTATTTTGTATTGTACGAAATGTACAAAAAAAATCCATAAACACACTTCTTTTCTTCTTCAAAAAACCCTTAGATTTCTCTAAATAATACGATTATTGTATATCTCTTCTTAGTCTTCTAAAAATTCCCCCCGCTTCCTAATTGATGGTTAATATTACCTTGTTGTTATAACGGTTACCAATAAACTTCGCAATGGTAGTTAAAAAAATCCCCTCCACAGTAAGGTATAAAATAAAGATACAAATACTACTATAATTTCATTTTGTTGTTGTTGTTGCTTATAATAATGATATATTTGCGATTTGCGTTACGTGGCCGATTACGTCGTCAAATATTGTTAACACTGATTTGCCATGGCGCACCGTCTGACTGTGAACCTTAACTGGTTTTGTAAATTACTAACAACTTTATTGTTATTATTATTTATGTTGTTGTTGGTCTTTCAGCAAAAAAATGTGTTTCAGTTGTTGAAATGTTTGCCGCTGGTGATAATGGACTTTGACTTTGGATATGTAAACAGAGACACACATTTTCTGCTAAATCATTTTCATTTTGTTTAATTTAAAATTAATATTGTCGGACATTAGGGTGAATTGTAGTTATATATGAAACAATTAGCGTCATGATTGAATTGGTAAGAATATAGGTGAATAATATTAACATTTTTTGGTAGGTGCTTCTCCGAGTACAGTATGTGGAAATTTACATTATTTATTGCATGATTTCCTTTCTGTTTTATTTTTTTACAATACTTTTTGTTATAATGTTGAAAATCTAAATTTTTATATTAGCTATAATTAAGTTAAATCTCTTTCTCGCGGCGTTCACTTCCAGTCCAATAATCCACGATTATCTAGCCAAGGCAAAAGTTCCATCATTGCCTGACTATATTTATGATTTCCATACATATCAGCCTTCAATTTTGATTCATCGAAAATATAATTTTCTAATTTGGCATCATTCGATTTTCCCAACATGACAATGGGCAATACCTTGGATACGACCATATAAGCTGCAAAAATTAAAAAAAAAACAAAATGGTTTTAATTCCAAAAATTATATTCAATTATTAAAGGATTATAATTTTAGTTTCCATTTATAAAATAAAAATCAAAGGTGAAGACAAATCAAGAAGAAAAGTACAAAACTCGGATTGTATAATGCCCTTCACAGATTTAGCTAAATATATACAAGAGGTGCTGTCATAATATTATTGCTACTCATAACACATATTTAGATTTAAATAAAGCGTGCTGCATGCTCTTTATAAGATAGTCACAGTTAACCAATCAGGGATATATGTGTCTGAATTTTTGATCCCGAAACTAAAGAACAATCGAACGTGTGGGTCTTTGAAGACAACTGATGGATCATCTTCCGCACATCCCTTAACGGAACCCCACCCATTCTCGATTTTAATTTTCAAGCTTTTCAATGGGCTGGTAAATCAATACCAATGCTTGTTAAGGTTTGTACCTTTACACATATATAATTGAAGATTTAAAATAGAAGAAAAATAATTTACAAAGAAATTTTGTTGTTGTTTTTTGTGATTAAAGAAAAGTCCTTATTTTTGATGGCGGGCATGATAACTCCTCACTGGAACATCGGAATCCGAAAATTCCAACGGTCTTAGGAAGAGTAAATGTCTGGCTCTCGTATGAACTAGGATTATAGACTTCGCTCTAAAATTAACAAAATGGTGGACATTTGAAAAAATATTTTTGGAAAATCGCCGATTTTTTTACCAAAACCCAAGTTAAAAAATGAGGAAGATCTTCACCGATTGGCTTTATCCTAGTTCATACGATAGCTATACACTCACAGAGAAACGTGTAAAAATTTGAAATCGATTGGGTTATTAGTTTTTGAGTTATCGTGCCCGCCATTCGCAAAAAAATGTTTAGAGAAAAATGCGTTTAAAGTTTGAGAAGCCCTTCAGCCGTCACTTGATGCTGACACATTAAATCGGCTATATCTTCAAGATTTCTTGAGATTTTCATTTGAAACTTTGTAGGCACATTCTATAATTAGAGTAGATTCGAATTATATCAACAAAATTTTTGACCCCGAGAATGGGGGGTCCCCTTAATAGACATTCCGTTTGGAAAATCTCGAAATCTTGATCAGAGTAATGTTCTAAGTCGATATAGCAATTGTCCGTCTGTCTGTTGAAATTGCAATTAAGACAGAGTTGGAATGTTTGTTTCTAAGACATCAATTTCGCCGGACGAGTACTCGAAGTAAGAACAAATGCACATGATGAATCGATCAGGAGATGGATCAGAAAATACTTCGAGTATCTGAAATTGTTGACATTAAACAGATTTGAACTACAAACTAATGTAAAATAACTAAAGGGACGAGCAGAAAATATTTTTTATAGATGAGCTTAAGGAAGTCTTATAAACGAACTGAAGGGGTTTTAAGACGAACTGAAGGAAGTCTTTATAGACGAGTCGAAGGGAGTCTTTATAGACGAGCTGAAGGGAGTCTTTATAGACGAGCTGAAGGGAGTCTTTATAGACGAGCTGAAGGGAGTCTTTATAGACGATCTGCAGCAGGGCATCAGCAGGGCTAACAGGTGGAAAAGGGTGTACATATGTTTATAACTGGCAAAAGGAAATGCGATAGACACATGATTCCTTTCAAGATTATGCATATAATCACTTTCTGTGTCGATTTTGCCTGTCTGTCCGCCTGTCCATGTATTCTTGTGAACAAAGTACAGGTAACATTTATGGTCCGATTTGGATTAAATTGGACACAGGTCACTTATTTGGCCCAATCCTATTGAAATTGTAGAAAATCTGTTCAAATTATGCACAACGTGCAGAAGTACATATTGACGTATGCGAAGTTGTGTTGAACTCTGTTCAGATTTTGCTATAGCTCCAATGTATATTTGAGTTCGATTTTATATAAATGTTCAGAGTTATAAAAATATTAGTGTGATATTTTGAGTTCTCATTGGGTGGTAAATATCCCCACCAAAAATTATAAATATTGGTCGATCTTTGTGTATAGCCTTCATATAAAGTTACAAACCATTTAAAGATATTCTGATGGTCCTAGGTGATTTTTCCAAACGAAGTGACTATATTTTAGTATTTGATATTTCGTTTTCTCCTGGCAGCAATTTACCATGGAATTTTAGGTATTTTGAATAGGCCTCATTCTGAAGGTTATAAAAAGTTCGGCGTATTGAAATTGGTGGACTTCGGTTGAGATTTAGACACTAAATTTTGAATAACATATAGAATTATGTCTAGAATAACGCCGATTTTAAAATATCCAATGATTGTTCGATTAAGATGAAACTTAGTTAGCGTACCGAATTGAGTCTATAAATTCTTGTTCCATCGATTCAGATTTAGATATGACCCCTATATGTATTGTTTTCTGATTTCAAAAATGTCTTTATAGCGATTTTTTTGTCGACTTCAACTTACCAGCCAGACCATTCTTTAGGAGAGCTGCATGAATTGCCGTCAATTTTGGGATGGGACGATGATATTGCAACAATTTCAAATTCTCCACCAAATTATCATAATAGAATCGTACCATATAATCAAATTGGGAGGTCTTGATTTCCTTCTTGGCCGACGAAAGTATCAGATAATAAAGATCATTGGCAGGGGAGCCATATTTGCTGACTTGGAAATCGACAAACAAGGTTTGTTTGATTTTACCATAGGCATCATATTGGAACATGATGTTATTGGTCCACAAATCTCCATGATTAAGGACATTAAATTGGCGATTGTCGACACGTTGATCTTCCAAGAGGCGATCAACCAGATATTCATCGGAATTCATCTAAACATAAAATAAGAATTTTACTATTATTATTCTAAAGCAATACATTTCCCTACTTACCAACTTGTCATAATACTGTTGACAATTTTTCCATTTTTTTAGTTGACCCAAAAAGGCCTCAGAATTATTGAATTCCTTTAGCAAATCTTTATTTTTTGCGCTGTAAATGCCCACATTGAAATCATCACCAAATGTACCATAATGTTCAACGTAGCATGCTGAGGCAGCATGGAATTCAGCCAATTTTTTGAGGACCTCCTTCATGTGATCCATATCTAGACCCTCGAGGCGATTGGCATTTTTAAATTGTTTCGTTTGTAAGTCTTCTAGGAGGACATATTCCATGCCATTATCACGATCGAAAGTAAATGCTTTGGGAGCAAATTGTACCGTTTTACCAGCATCAGCATATAACTGCACAAATTTGGGCAATATTTTGTGATACAATTCTTCCTCCTTGGGGAATAGGCGCAATCTCTCCAATATGCTGGACATCATTTCATTGACATGATGAGTTTTTAAGAAAAATCCAACGGGTTTCACGGTACCATCTGCAATGAACAAAATCCAATATTTGATGAATGGAAAATTAGAAAAATATTCTATCAAGGCCTCAGGCTCTTAAGCCTTTTGTAAAATACTGGACTCACCCTCCAATTCTGCCTCGGCCTTAATGCGAACAATGAGTGATGAATAATTTTCACCCTGTTTGGCTTCATTTTCTGTGGTAATTTTTGTAATTTTCTTAAAGTCTCCAATTTGCTGGGTAATAGCCTTGTTTAAAGTTACACTGTCCAACCACACCGGTAGATCTTTGTCGATTGCCTGACCATTCTCAGTTGCTGTCATTTTGAATCTGCAAAATGAATCATATTTTTTCTGGCATTGAATGCAATTTTTAATTTGAAGTGCAAGTGGAAGTGAATTGTTGTTAACAACAACACAAATAATAAATTAAATTATTTTTTATTTAAATAAATTAGATAATTTGAAGAGTAGACAGATGGTCATATTCAGATCTAAGGTATCGTATGAGCAATTTCGAATACAAGTATCTAACTGATATAAATGACGCCACCCTGCTTCTACTGATTAGGTTGATCGTAATATCCTCTCTATAATTGATAAGAATTTGCACAAAGACAATACCCTGTACCACAGTGTGGTAAAGGGTATAAAAATATGTCACAATGTTATTTGTCCAAATGAAACAACATTTTGCACCGTTTACTGATTAAGTGCATTTAATGTAAATGATGTACCAAACTTGCAATGTTTGTCTGAATTTACTACAGATTAACGTACGTGAAGTATTGCACAAATCGGTTCAAATTTAGGTATAGCTTCCATACATTTTTCATTGGATTTTATATAACTCCTAATGTTTCTCCGATTTAGACGAAATTTTGTATAGCGAATCTCATTGAGTCAAGAATGATGTGTAAAGTTTTATTGCAATTCAGATTTAGATATAGCATATCTATACTAATAAAAGAGTAAAGTGATTGACTGACTGACTGATTTAACGATTCATCAACGCCCAGACGAAACGGCTGAAGTTAGTATCTTGAAATTTTGGGTGAGGGTCACTCTTGGCCCAAATGTGACAGATAAGGCTGGGTTTTTGGAAATTCGTACTAGAAGGGTACGAAAAGTACTAAAAAGTACTAAATATGATATCGTTTGTATTTGGCGAACCAGTAGAGCCAGAAATCTGAAATTTGGATTGAGGGTCACTGATGGAGTGTAGGATAGATGTACCAAAGGGTTTTTGGACATTCGAACTACAATTATCCGAAATGTACGAAAATTTACTAAATTTGGTACAATTCTGTAGCATGAGAACGGATAGAGCTAAAAACTTGAAATTTGGAATGCGAATTATGGTTGGGAAGTAGGGTCGATATAAGGAGATGGTTTTGAAACCGTGTACTCATGCGTACGAAAAGTACTATATGGTACTATATTTGGTACAAATTTGATTTGGAGGTACAAATGGAGCTAGAATCCTGAAAATTGAAAGTAACATTACCGTCGGAGTATAGGATTGTGATATGTACGTAGTTGTGGAAATTTGTTACTTATGTGTATGAAAAGTACTAAATCGTACTATAATTGGTGCAATTTGGATTTGGGTGAACCGATAGAGCTGAAACAATGAAATTTGGAGTTAGGATCATTTTAGGGGTGTAGGATTGGGGTCAGGACTCAGTTTAAGACATTATTACTTATGGGTACTAAATGGTACTAAATTTGGTGCAATTTGAATTTTAGGTGAACCAATTGAGCTAGAATTATAACATTTGGAGTCAGGATCACTGTCGAGGTGTAAGATTGAGATATGCAGGAAGTTTTAAAATTTTGTACTTATGTGTACTAAATTTGGTACAATTTGAATTGTGGTTGAACCGATACAGTTGGAATCCTGAAATTTAGATTTTGGAGCACTGTGGGGGTGTTGGTTTGGGTTCAGTTGGAAGTTTTTGAAATTCGTACTAAATGGTACTAAATTTGGTACAATTTGAATTTTGGGTGAACCAGTAGAGCTAGAATCATGAAATTTGGGGTCAGATTGAGAAATGTAGGAAGTTTTAAAATTTTGTACTAATGTGTACTAAACTTGGTACAATTTAAATTGTGGGTGAACCAATGGAATTGGAATCCTCAAACTTGGATTTAGGATCACTGTGGTGGTGTTGGTTTGAGTTAAGTACGAAGTTTTGGAAATTCGTACAACTGTGTACTAAATTTGGTACAATTTGAATTATGGGTGAACCGATAGAGTTCGAATCCTGAAATTTTGATTTTGGAGCACTGTGGGGGTGTTGTTTTGGGTTAAGTTGGAAGTTTTTGAAATTCGTACTAAATGGTACTAAATTTTGTACAATTTGAATTTTAGGCGGACCAATGGAGCTAGAATCAGAAATTTGGAGTCAGGATCATTGTTGAGGTGTAAGATTGAGATATGCAGAAATTTGTGCTAATGTGTACTAAATTTTGTACAATTTATGTTGTGGCTGAAGCGATAGAGTTGGAATCCAGAAATTTAGATTTACGATCACTGTGGCGGTATGGGATTGGGTATTTATGAAGTTTTGGAAATTGGTACTACTGTGTACTAAATTTGGTACAATTTGAATTGTGGGTGAACAGATAGAGTTGGAATCCTGAAATTTAGATTTTGGTTTGGGTTAAGTTGGAAGTTTTTTTAATTCGTACTACATTGTACTAAATTTAGTACAATTTGAATTTTAGGTGAACCACTAGAGGTTGAATCATGCAATTTGGAGTCAGGATCATTGTTAAGGTGTAAGATTGAGATATGGAGGAAGTTATAGAGATTTGTTTTTGAAATTCGTACTAAATGGTACTAAATTTAGTACAATTTGAATTTTAGGTGAACCAATAGAGGTAGAATCATGAAATTTTGAGTCAGGATCAATAAGGTGTAAGATTGAGAAATGTAGGAAGTTTTAGAGATTTGTACTAATGTATACAATTTAAGTTGTGGTTGAAGCGATAGAGTTGGAATCCTGAAATTTAATCTATATTAATAAAAGAGTAAAGTGATTGACTGACTGACTGATTTAACGATTCATCAACGCCCAGACGAAACGGCTGAAGCTAGAATCTTGAAATTTTGGGTGAGGTTCACTCTTGGTCCAAATGTGACAGATAAGGCTGGGTTTTTGGAAATTTGTACTAGAACGATACGAAAAGTACGAACTATAATTATCCGAAAAGTACGTAACTGTACTAAATTTGGTACATTTCTGTAGCATGTGAACGGATAGAGCTAAAAACTTGGAATTTTAAATCCGAATTAGGGTTGGGAAGTAGGGTCGATATAAGGAGATGGTTTTGAAATCGTGTACTCATGTGTACGAAAAGTACTTTATGGTACTATATTTGGTACAAATTTAATTTAGAGGTACAAATCGAGCTGGAATCCTGAAAATTGATATTAACATTACCTTCGGAGTATAGGATTGGGATATGTACGTAGTTTTGGAAATTTATTACTTATGTGTACGAAAAGTACTAAATCGTACTATAATTGGTACAATTTGGATTTGGGTGAACCGATAGAGCGGGAACAATAAAATTTGGAGTCAGGATCACTGTAGGGGTGTAGGATTGGGGTCAGGACTCAGTTTAAGACATTATTACTTATGGGTACTAAATGGTACTAAATTTGGTACAATTTGAATTTTAGGTGAACCAATTGAGAGCTAGAATCATGTGTAAGATTGAGATATGTAGGGAGTTTTAAAAATGTGTACTAATGTGTACTAAATTTGGTACAATTTAAATTGTGGGTTAACCGATGGAATTGGAATCCTGAAACTTGAATTTAGGATCACTGTGGGGGTGTTTGTTTGAGTTAAGTAGGAAGTTTTGGAAATTCGTACCACTGTGTACTAAATTTGGTACAATTTGAATTGTGGGTGAACCGATGGTGTTGGAATCCTGAAATTTTGATTTTGGAGCACTGTGGGGGTCTTGGTTTGGGTTAAGTTGGACGTTTTTGAAATTCGTACTAAATGTTACTAAATTTGGTACAATTTGAATTTCAGGTGAACCAATTGAGCTAGAATCATGAAATTTGGAGTCATGATCATTGTTGAGGTGTAAGATTGAGATATGTAGGGAGTTTTAAAAATTTGTACTAATGTGTACTAAATTTGGTACAAATTGTGGGTGAACCGAAAGAGTTGGAATCCTGAAACTTGGATTTAGGATCAGTGTGGGGGGTAGGATTGGGGTATGCAAGAAATTTGGGAATTAGTACTACTGTGTACTAAATTTGGTACAATTTGAATTGTGAGTGAACTGAGTGAGAGTGAACTACAAAGTACTAAATCGTACTATAATTGGTACAATTTGGATTGGAGCCCGATCCTGGGATCGGGGTATGTAGGAAGTGTTGAAATTGTGTACTACTGTGTACTAAATTTTGTACAGTTTGAATTGTGGGCGAACCGATAGAATTGGTATCTTGAAACTTGGATTTAGGGTCATTGTGGGGGTGTAGGATTGGGGTATGTAGGAAGTCTTAAAAATTCGTACTAATGTGTACTAAATTTTGTACAATTAAAATTTTTGGGGAACCAATACAGCTGGAATCTTGAAATTTAGAGTTAGGGTTACAGTTTGGGTTACAGTTTCAAAATAGTACCAAATGTAGATTTGAGTAAACCGATATATCTTGAAATTTGAAGTTAGAATCACTGTCGGGGTGTAGGATTGGGCTATGTAGAAAGTTTTGGACATTCGTAATAATGTTTACTAAGTGGTACCAAATGGTGGTTAGGAATGTAGGAAGTTTAGGAAATGTTAATGTAGGAAGTTATGGCAATTTATATATTTATGTTTACTAACTGGTACTTAATTTGGATTTGGGTGAAGCTATATTAGAAATTTGGAAATTTAACAAGGGTACAAAGGGTAAAAAATGACACCAAATTTTGTATAGAGCTTGATTTCTTTTGCGGTCAGAATTTGTGTGTAGTGTTGAGTACTATAAGAGAACATTGGTACTAAACTGTTCTAAAAGTGTTAATATTGGTTGGTATTGGGTTTTAAATACTTCCCACATTCGCTGACGAAGTAGCGGGTATATGCTAGTATATATATATATATATACGTATACCAAAGTTTGTCTGATTGACACACAATTTAATACAATAATTTTGAAGCGGCTGGCAAATGGACTTGCATTAGATTGCAGACTTGTAACTTGGTATATAAGCACTTGCAGACTTAAAGAATAAGAAAAGGAATTGACATAATTCTGTTGTTGTTGCTTTTAGTAATTAATAAAAAGTCCTTCCTGACGGCGGTCATTA